AGGTACAATGTGAGGTTATGTCACCATGTATTATTTGGTGCATACTTTGACTAAGCGGGAACCGTTAATGTATACATTGACTAGTTAAAGCTTACATATCGTCCATTGTGAACACATTTACTGAGCAAATCAGTCAATGCATACATTGGCTAGTCAGTGTATACATTGACGGAATGAACACTTTGACTGTAACACCAATTGGTTATTAAATGTTTTTCAAAATTTACCTTTAGAAATGATTCGCGGTTGTCTGGATTCTGGATTTCTAATTTTATGGAGGCTGACCCTAGTCAGCCGGCACTTAGGCCTCGCCTTTGGGCCCATTGTGTCTTCCCTAAGTGCACATCAGGGTGTCTTCCCGCTCCTATACTCGTCAAGTCACCCAACTGCTTGAATGTAATTGAGTAATAGAGAGGGTGGGAACTCCCTGATTTTTGCCATACTAGGCCAGATGTCCCCTAGTTTGGATTTTGTGTAGGAGACTAGCGTTGGACACACACGAAGAATGTGGTCAGCAGAAGAGAACTTCTTCATTGCATCCAAGACAGATTGGGGTGCTTATTCTTAAGCGTTCGAGTCGAGACGTATACGACTCATCTCAATGATTTTGACAGTTTCGTATTGTTGACACCGTTCGACTGTGCGAGTCAGGTATGAATAACAACGGCATTCGAATCGAGTGTAAGTCGAGTCACCGGTGAGTCGTAAACGTTTCGAGCGGTTCGAAAATAAGCCCCTGGGTCTGTTACCACTCCTGTCATATGTAGATGTTTGTTAAACTGGTGATGTCCCATAAGGAATCCTACTAGTTTACGCAATTTGTTCCTTGAAAGTGATAGATAAAATTTCGTCAACTTACGGTCTGGTGTCACTATATAAGCTCTACTCTGCCGGCAGCTGCTCAACATCGTCTATATTTGCTTATGGCGTCTATAGGTATATTGCTTTACGAGTTCGTTCGAGAGGGCGACCTAAGGCGTGATTGCCGGTTCGGGATCCCAGAAGGGCTCGCTTCGCCATCTCATCTGGCCTCTGTGTCCTTTGATCTAACAAAGTTCTACACTATTACACTATTACATACCTTAGCGTTTGTCTGCACTCCTAAACCAGCCCGGATCGAACCATGTAACTGTTTAGGGCTAGTGGAGACTTGCTGTCAGTAAGTATGCATCTTGATTTGTTGGCCATTTCACGTTCAGCAAGGATTCTAGCTCTCAGCATTATTTCATTATTCACTCTGTTTGTAAGACAGATCTGTAGGTGCCGAGAGGTACACTCTTTTGTGAGTTCAGCTGTACGTAGTAGATGGCGGCTCCTGAACCACTATCTGTTTTGTCACCATCGATGTTGGCTCTTGCTTCTGAATTATCATTCCTTAATATTCTATATGTCTTCTCATGTATTAATTTTGTGCCCATTCGGTCACAACCCATCCTTAACAAGTGTGCTTCGTTATTTGGCCTTGCTTGTTCCATACTCCCAGAGAGTGAAGTCTTAGAGACGTCCTCACTGCCGTTTCCTCTGTGTGAAAGTTAAGAGGTGCTATCCCAGGCAACATGATGTCGTCTTTTTCACGTGAATAAATGGTCATCAATTACGTCATAGTGACCAAAGATTTCACGTGATATTGACGTACCAATGACGGTCAAATGTCTCGTCCAGATGACGTCATTTTCTGACGAACTATTGACGTGATGTACTGACGTCTTAGAGTCGTCATTTTGTAACGAACTATTGACGTGATGTACTGACGTTTTATAGACGGCATTTATTGTCCATTTTAAGACGCTTTTTATACTTATTTTGATTTTTAGAAAAAAATATGCAATAAATAAAACGCTGAAATACTTTTATATTTTTATGTTATTTACCTTAAATAAAATATTATAATTCGTTATAATCACCAGGTAAACCCCAAAACAATATATGTATTAATTAAAGTTAAAACAAATTAGTGTAAAAAAATTAAATTTACTACAATTCTGTACAACCAACAATGAACTTCAATAAACAAATAAAAAAATATATGTCAATTAAACAAATTAATGATAAACTACTTTTAAGAACACAAACAAATCTACATACAGGTAATTACCAGTCAAATTACTATAAACAAAAAAAAGGATAATATACAATATATAATCAAAAATAAACGTTGCAATAAAATATGCTATTTAAAGAAAAATCAGTTTTAAAAACACAAAGAAATCTATTTAGTTACAAAGAATATTAAAAGAAAACTATAATAAACTATAAATCATTCTTAAAAACACAAAGAAATCTATTTACAAAAAATATATAAAAAAAAACTAAAATAAAGGGAAAAGACAGTTGAATCGCATTGTTGAAGTTACTTGCTTTGAAAATACACTGTAAAACTTTCTAATTCACGACGACTTGACTGTCCCCAACACACAAAAAAGTACCGTTAAGAATTAATTCTGTTTTAACAATCATATTAATAACCTAACTTTTTTAAGTTTGCCTTAATTTATTGCACTGAAAAGAAAAACCCATTAGAGTGCATGGATTAATGGAAATGCAATCATTTTTTCGTCTATGGACAATAATAGCCAAATTACTAAACTTAAGGGATTACAGCTTAAAGCAGAAGACAAATTCTGCATTTTAAAAATGCTAAATTTACTTGAATCTAACGGATAATCGTAAAATGGTTGCATTGACAAAAACGTATAGCCTATTAAGAAAATCTCGTTGTCAATACTTTTTACAATGAAGCGAAATGTGCCATGTATAGTAAGTTATCAAAAATATCGTAGTATTACAGGCATCTACCTGTATATAATATCCAATATTATGTGTTGCATTTCCGGAAGCGGCCACTGACCCTTTTGGGTATCTTTACCTGTTTTTGTAAATAGCACTGTAATTTTAGTACTTCTGTAACCGTCCTATATTAAACATCAAAACCGAAACCGAACGCTGTCCATTATTTCAATTATAACAAACAAAGGTCCTTCGAGCAATAATCAAGGTACAATTCGGAAGACCATACATGGTCGTATCAACCGGATTACAAAAAACGTTGGTACTACGATTCGGATTGTACGAAACATTGGCAATTCAAGCCGGAACATCGATCCCTCGAGCCGGAACAATTATGTTATATGTATATATGAATTCATTGTATTTTTTTAACTTACAAAGAAATCTGCTTATTCTAATAGGCAAAGATAATCTTGTAATTCGTCAAAATTTGTTTAGGTGTGGTCTTGGCGGCATAACTTCTATTTTTGTTTTCTTTTTCAGTTGTCAGATTTGATGACGTTTCCATGTTGGAGAGTTTTTCACTCGTTTCCTTTAGCATTTCTTTCGTTTCGCACATGTGTTTTGTATTTGTTTCAAATCTAGAATAAAACTATGTTCATTAGCATTAGTACATAAATAATTGCAGTAATATACCTTTTTTTTTATGGCGCCTCATTTTCAAAAACAATCACCGTAAGTTCTTCATAATCAGTGGGAGTATCTTCAGTGATTAATGGTGGTCTTTCTTAAAAAAACTGCTTTTGTTATCTACGTACTGTTATCATTTATCAAAAATAACAGAAACATGTAAAAATTAAAATGATTACTTTATTAGATATTAACTTACCTAGTGTAAATAAGTATAACCCACACTGTACAGAAATTTTCACAAAACTGCGTTAAAAATGAAGTGAGTAACGGATACACGAGAAAGTTTCGGCAGTTGAGAACCAACTGGAAATATTGGGATACTTCACTGTGAAGTGCAATAAACATAAATACCGAAAAAAGGGAAAGTCCGAATGCACGCCTCAAACATCTGATGTATTGTATGGTAAATACGGAAGTTGAGCATTATTTTTTCATTAGATGAAATAAATTTAATAAAACTAAATATTAAATCACTCTCTAATTTTTTTGGTAACCATCATCACTTTATAAACGTCTTTATAAAATCAAAATTCGACGAAGGAATTCTTCAAAACCTTGTCCCGTTTTAGGGACAATGGACAAAGAATTTTTATGACTTTGTGTCGTGGGGTCTTTTCACTATTATACGCTCAACCCCGGATGTTCTATTTATAATTTGCCAAGCAGGTACCTACAAAATAACACTTCCAGAGTATAAACAAGTTTTCAGAAATAATTATTTGATTAGAAATTATTAGATGAAAAAACTTGTCTTTGGGGTATTTCTAATAAAGCCGTTGTTTTTTTTTTTGCTCTAAAGATAATTAAGCATTATGAAGGCCACTTTTTAAAGAATACGACGATCGATATCTAATTGATCATATAATCTATAAAAAAATGACCAAGAAAGGACGGCCTTTTGACGTCATTAATTGACGTCAGAAGTAAGTCATAAAAATCTCGTCATTATCACGTGATTTTTTGGGCGAATGACGTCGCCGACGAGTTATGACCAAAAATTGACGTGAATTAGACGACAGTCTGCTGCTTGGGAAGCAAAGAAGTGTCTCCAGAGCCGCTGTGGGAGTGGTTCTCATTGCTCCTGAAACATTGAGACACGCCATTCTCTGAACGTGTTCAAGCGCTGTACTGTTTTGTCTGGCTCTGGGCCGTCAAACTAGAGCTCCGTAGCACAGGATCGGTCTGACTATTGCCGTGTAGATCCAGAGGCCGATCTTAGGGTTTTAGACCCCAAGACCTTCCCACCACCCTACGACATTGCCAAAGAGCCGAGCGTGCTTTTTCCAGTTTATTATCTACCTGCTTCTTCCAGTTCAGTCGCCACTCCACTACAACTCCCATGCATTTGACTTCGTCCGAAGTTGAAGCATTGTGTTAAATTTTTTTGGCATCTGTAGTATGCCAATTTTCCTTTTCCTAGTGAACAGGATTAGTTTCGTCTTCTCTCCGTTAACGGAGAGGGTATGCCTGCTGCACTATTCCTCGACTATTGTTATTGCAGCTTGCATTATTTCATATAATGTGTCTGCTTTTTTTCCTGTCAGCAAAATGACTAGATCATCTGTGTGTGGTAGCCAAGATCACTGAGGCGTCGGTCGTATTAGGTTGTGAACGATGGTATCCCACAGTACAGAAGAGATTACTCCTCCCTGGGAACATCTCCTGTCTACAACAGCCTCGATCTCAGTGCCACTTACATTAATCAGTACTTCCCTATTCGTCAGCATACCGGTCACCCACCTACTCAGGGTGGGGTTCACGTCGTGCTCTTGTAGGGCTAATTCTATGCTTTTCAAGGTCGTTTTATCGAACGATCCTTCAGTATCCAAGAACATTCCTAAGGTGGAGAGTTTGTCCTTCATTGCCCACGCTATGCGGTTTGTGTGTAAGGCCGTATCCGTGGATCTTCCTTGGATGTAGGCATGTTGGTTTGGATATAGAAGTTACTTGCTCAAAGCGTTTTTTTTGTTTTTTGCTGAGTCTTTTTAGCGTTTTCAGCAAGAATGATGTTAAGCTAATTGGTCTATAGGATTTAACTAAGGTGTAATCTTGCCCTACTGGCTTAGATATAAAGATAACCTTTACTTTTCGCCATGCATTCGGTATGTAGCTGAAAGCCACACACGCCCGAAACATTGATAACAAGATAGGGCGTAGTCTGCTTATTCCCCTCTGCAGGAGGACGGCCGAAGCAGTCGACGTTATGTCGCTGTAGAAGGATCTCCACATTTCCCGTTTCCTTTTTGTTAATTCTTTCTTAAACTCTTTCCGGTGCTCTTTATAGGGTTCCCAGTCTTCAGTTTTCTTTGTGTTGTCTGCTCTATTGAAAAGTTTTCTTAGCCCTGATTAAAGTAGGCTGAGCCTTCGGTTTCACTGTGGCCATGGCCGACTAGTATAAAGATTATGGCCTGTCCAAAGGAATGCCAAAGGTACCATACGTGCTGCCATCTATTAATAATTCAAAATCGACAAAAGAATTATTAACACCTTTTGAAAGGCACAAAGGCATTCATACCCAAACAAACCACCATTACACGTTTTGAAGTCCCATAATGTCAAGTCAAATTAAAATTTTGCTAAATTATTAAGTGTAATTATTAATAGATGGCAACACGTATCGTACCTCTTGGACAGGCCATAATCTTTATACTAGTCGGCCATGCCCAGGCCTTCCTTCTTTAGTGATGACATTAATATGATTTTTTCAATTGGAACGGGCTCCGGAAAAAAAAGTTCGTTAAACCTCATGAATAAATCTTGTAATGGTATTATTATTTGTTTTTCCCAAAGCTTTTGTGCTAATCAAATAGGCAGTGCCATATTTATCACTGGTCAAAATTTCAATCAACAAATTTGTGACATAACGGCCACATGAATCGATTGTTTAATCGACATGAAAATAAATTAGATTATCGTCTATAATTTGACGAATAGCCTGCTTTGTTTTTTGAAACATTTTGTCCACATAGTTTTTTCTTAAGGTATTCTCATCGGAAACTGATTTCACGGTACGCCTTTTAAGAAATAATCGTAGCTTGGGGTTATTCAGTTTTGGTAAAGGAATATCGGCACTGAAGAATGGTTCACACAATTGGAAAGAATATTCTTGTTGATGTGTCATCTTCTAGATGTGGGAAAAAGATGCTGCGAACAAACTTTGTGACTTTTTGACTTCACATTAGTAGGATTCTTTACCTTATTTTTGTGAATGCTTGTCCCAATGTGCGGAGTTTATAACCCTCTTTCGGAGGGTTTTACAGCGAACGGCAGCTCTTTGGCCGAGGCGGGTCGCGGTTCGGAGAGTTCTTATTATTTTTTTGTATTGGGCCACATAGCTTCCTGTTGCGATAGTTTACTCCGCTACGTCGAGTAAACAGTCGAGAAGAATCAAGCCACAAGAAAACACAGAAGAAAAAAATAAATATATATTCAATGGATAATAAAATTGACATGTGTCGATTAAATGAAATTCCTCTATTTCACGCAAACAAACAAATTACCATTAGCGTTCAGAAGGGACTATCACTGAAATATAGATACTCCTAAAAAAATGCAACAGAAAATAAAATGTATTGATGCGTCCTCGGACAAAACTATCTTGCGATATGATAAATAAAAAATAAAAAAACTTCCAAGAATTTTGATAAAGATAGTTGTGACCGGGCGACTAAATGGAAAATTAGAACTATAGGGCGCTAGAGTGGACTTAGCTCGTAACCGTAGTTGTCAGCAGCTCCTCTCCATCTGGATTGTAATTGTTAAAAAACAGCGGCGTCACAAACCTCTGGATCCGAAGAAAAACTTCAACGTTAGCGGCGGCTCCGCAGGAACAGCAGCGAAAATCAAATGTCGTCGGCTCGACATGGTCTCTTCAAGGTGGACGATACGAAAACGGCTCAACTCTCTTGCCTCGAACAAAACAATAAAAATCTCTATCTTGAGTACTTCCTCTTCGTCTTTGCACTTTCTTCCTTCAGGAACTCCACCAAAATCTTCTCGAAAACTTCTTTTCTCCTCTTCGGGTACGTCCTGGCACTTCCTTCCTTCAGGAACTTCGCCAAAACGCATCACGAGCACCTCTCTCTTCCCCGATAAGGTCGATACTCTCGAATATTCTTCCACCAGCATTAGCAGTGCCATGATGTCGTTTGACACTCCCGATAGGCATCCATGAAGAATTAGATGCAGGCACGTAAAACATTTGCATCCCCAATAAAACAACGCTTTTTTTTCTTTCCCCCTATCTATCACAAAAGAAGGAATGAATCTCATTCAACAAAATTGAAACGTTACAAGTTATCCAAACTTTTTTTCACAGACGACCTGAACAATAAAATTAATTCATATTATGCATGCTTTGCTTCTTGTGTTTAATTGAAAGCAATAAGATATTAATAAATTAAGGCAATTGTTTGAAATTGGAACTAATAAATGTCACAAATTCAAAAATATAGCCACGATAAAAATTTGGATACTTTACTTACCTTTTTACAGCACACTCTGTGAAAAACAGATTGAAAACTTTCACCTAGCACTAGTTCGGGATACTTTTTAATCCTGTCGTGGACACCTAGAAACCTTTGGTATTTTGGACTCGAAGTTCACGTATCAGTACCAAAATACGGACTGACAAAATTAAGAATGAAATGGGTAAATGACAAAATGAGTAATTGCTAGAAGGATGCTACTTGAAGAGTTAATTAAGAGAAAACGAAGATAATTTTAAGCCGGATGCGGTCTATTCAATAAACTGATAAACGGAATGTCCCCAGTTCGGATTAGGATGTCTTACTTAATAATTACTGTTGTTTTCAGGTAAAGATTCTACCGCAATGTCTTGGTATTTGCTGGATAAAGGTACAATTTGAAAATTTTACAAAAATATGTATAAATATTCACTTAATCGGTAATTATCCAGTAAATTTGAAAAATATGCATTTTTTAAAACCCATTGTTTAAAAAATAGTTATATAGCTAGAAAATATCTTTTTTTTTCTGAATAAGCCTCATTTTAAGGAATATGCATTTTGCATACAATCCGAATCTTAGTGATACATATAAGAAGAACGGTATACAATTATAAAGACGCATAAAGTAGAAAGAGTTATAATTTGAAAGAGATGAAACTGAGAAAGCAAGGATTATCACATTACAATTAAACCGGAGCTGTGTTAGTGTTTGGAAGAGGACAAATATCGCCATAATTTTTTGAATGAAAATTAGTTTTGTATATTTTGTTAGTACCTTTTTAAGTTACATTTCCAATCTGTTAAGTTAACTGAGAGGTCCTTCTGATTTTGATTTTCATTTCAAACTCGTAAAGGGATACAGTTTTGCAACTAACTGGAGTAAAATGGACACAAAATTACAGTCTCGCAGCCACGTTTCTCGCTGCAACTTTGACGATTTAAACGGGATTAACAAGTTTGACTTATGGATACGGTGTGGACTTTAGTGGAGTGATGAAGGTTTCGTCCAGAGGGCGGTGACATTTATAATGCACTAATCTTTCGCTGAAGCAAAAATTTTTCAGTTTTCAGCCACTTCGTAAATTTTGTAATACAATAAGTACACCTCAAGTGAGATGAAACAATTTTTAACATACCTAGAGAACAGATATTAATATTACAAGGCTTAACAACACTTTTACAATCAAAGATATGACATGGAATGGATAAGTGTGAATTTATAGAGGAAAGTTGAGTTACAATAAATTTAACAATACGTTAATGGTTGTAGATACACGATTGTCCAGCATAATAAGCGCAACTCTGTTCGACTTAATTGCTCTAGAATTTCTCCCGAATATCATATTTTAATGTAGCGTTAATTTAGATCCTCCAAGGTTTGCCAGCAAATATCAATTTACTAAAACCGTCTTGATTCGGGCCGGTCCAGCCGAACGGATCAATAAAGGGCAACAGTTGACCATAAGCAAATTGACGGTCGTAGTGTATCATTATTATATACATAAATTTCCATCACAATGAAACGATTGCAAGTAGAGGTTTATCGAGATAAGACTGCAGGATACGTGAATTAGGACTCAATCTCGGCGCCGAACACCGGGTTCGACCAATTCGAGGGCGTCGAAGGGGATTCACACGGGTACAAGGCCGGATATGAGCTTCCGTTATGAACAATTTACTATGAAATTGAATGATCGCGCACTGCCAACCGTTTCCAGATTTCTCAAATTCAATTTCGAACGCGAAAGCCCGCAAATGCGTTACACAAGCAAATCCCCGATCAAAAGAGCGAAGGATGTGCTCATTGCAAAAAATTACTACTAACTAACTTAAAGCCGAAGTTAAATCATATAAAAACACAACAGTAGACGGCATTATAAAAACATGACGTCCATGTATGATGCAAAAAATTTGATGTTTTAGTAAACGTAGAGAGGAATTGTAAATAAAGCGTACGAAAGCGTAGCACGGTGAATGATTATCATAACTCTCTTGAGCATATTGAGTTTTAAATTCTGTTTTGGAGGCTGAAGTTTGAAAACAAGGACGTTGTACATTTTTGCATCTTTGCATTGTGACAAATCGGAAATTTTTGGGTCAAACTAGGAACTTTTTCAAAGTAATATAAATGCCTGCATTATCGAATTTAATTAAATTTTCTTGAATTTGTTGATATAGAGGGGTTCCAACGTTTTTATGATGGAGGATTATACGTACATTTCAGAATACCTTATAAGTTATTTTGAGCTACAATTTACAATTATTTTGAAATATACAGGGCGAGTATTATAACAACGGGACCGTGACCAATTTTCAATGCAACACGACATACATCTATCAGTTATTGCTAGATTCCAAAATAAACACATACGTTTTTGGGATCAACGTAGGTACTCTCCTTACTAGTTGTCACTATGTCTCAAACACGTCAATCAAAATTTCACAAATGAAATATTAAAAAAACATCAACATATTAATTCAAAGAAATATAATAAATAAACTGAACGATTAAATAAATTTAACTAGGGTAAGTACTGTTCAAAATGCCTTCCTTCCTGCGCATCACACATTTCGATGTGGCAAGACAACCGGACGCGGGCAAGTGTTTCAGGAGTTATTGCAGTACATGCATTTCTAATTCTGGTTTTTAAATCTTCACAATTACGTATAGGACTTTGGTAAATTTGTTCTTTTACAACCCCCAGAAGAAGAAATCTAAAGGTGTTAAGTCGGGAATATGAGGGGGCCATGCATGCACCC